GAACATCAGAAACAATGAAAAAATCCTCAATTCCATCACCATTTTCATTAGAAGAATTACAACAAGCCCAAGTTAAAATTAATGATTTACTTATTAAAATTGAAAAACGTATGGATACATTAAAAACATGGATTCCACCAACAATGCCCTTTCTTGGCTTCTTCTAAAGACTCATTTTTCTTCAGTACATACACATATTTATATATGCAAACAGAAAGTTGAATAAAAAAAAAGAAAGATCTTAATATAAATGTTTGAATTCAATAAAAAGTTCTTAAATAAATCAAGATGTTGATTAATTCTATAACAAAGAAGTTATTTATTACTAATTCAAATATTTGACTTACGCATTAATGAAATATAGAAAATAACTTAGTTTATTACAAATAAAGTAATAATAAAAATTTAAACGGATATAAATGATAAAAAATAGGTCCATCTGCAAGATTTAAATAAAATCAATAGGTATTATTTAAGTTGATAGAAACCAATATAAAATGAATTAAACAAATTGTTAAAATCGTAATAATCATAGAATGTGTAGTATGTTTTCTCGTATATTTATAATACTAAATTCAATACTATGAAAAAATGTACCAAGAGAAAATATCTCGTATTTATGACTCTACTGAAATTAATTGATCTCATTGATTGCACTACATTAGAGTTCGAACAACCAGTAGAACTAGTGTAGTTAGTTGAATCAGAAATGTTAATGAACTCAGTAAAAATAAAATAATCAGCAGAGTAAATTTCTACTATCATAGGTACTATTTAAATAAATAAATATATTGCCCATTTCAAAATAAAAATGCATTGAAATTTGTATGAAAAGATTTCTCTAACGACTTTCCTAAGAGTTGTAGTAAACTGTATTTTGATGATTAAAATATCTTATTAGTAATAGTTAGAAATAAAATCTTTCCATAATTTTAGAGCTTTTTCTCTGGTGGTTGTAGAACGCTCCCTACAATCAATAAATCCTTATGCTGTCGATCTTGTTCATATAGGAAATTGTTTAAAAAAACATTCATCGGCCTTTTATTTTGAAATGGTCATTAGTATCATTACCAGGAAGTTTGGTAAAAATCCCGTGCTGTATAACAAAAATCGATTTTCGAGGGGGAAGCCTTAATGACTTTTATTGACTCCATTGAACTTAAATACATTCTTACCTGATACAACTATTTACAATATAAAATAAATTTATTTATTAACATTATTAGAATTTATATTTTTGAATTAGAAAAAGAAATAAATGACAATAAAACATGTTTATATATATATGCTTATTATATTCAAAAAGCAATAGATAAATAATTAAGAGCAAAAAATACCGATGAACACTAAAAAAACTAAATATTATCTAAGTGAACTATTAGTTGATGAAGATTTTGATACTTGATTCTTATATGTTTTATATCTTAGCACTATTATCAAAGTAAATAATATAATTGTAACAACAATTGTTAATATTATCAGAATAGTACTACAAATAATTATAAAACGTTTTCGTTTTCGTTGAATACTTGTTCGTGATATTCGATGAATTTTATTAAAATCCTTAAAAAAAACACGAAATGATTATTTTTTTTCTCTTGATCAATATAACTAACTTGTTTTTTAACTGATGTTTCAAGTTGATCAGCTCGAGCAAGTAAATTATTTAATGTTACATTATCATGATCTATTGTTTCATGAATATCTTCAACTAAAACATCGGATTCAAATAATGATTCTCCCGTATTTTTTTCTTGTTTTAATAATTGATTTGATGCTGCATTATTCTACATAAATGAATATTTTAATGAAGATGAAGATAAATGAGTATTTATTTACTGAAATGATTGATTGAGATAAATCATTGGTTAATCTTCGCGGTGATGGAGGAGTTTTAGCTTCATTGGATGTTGATTCACATGATGTTTTATGTAGAAATAAGAGACGTTTATTTTTCGTACTTCTTCGTTTCCAACCCTCCTTAAAAATAATTTCATTTTTATATAGTATATTATCATTCAAACATACGAATCCATGGCGATCAGATAATTTAAAAGATTTTTTATGATGTCTAGTTTTAATATCACGTTCTTTGGAAATTGTATGAGTATTATGATGATCATCATCATCATCACTTTCTTCTTTTTGTCTTTTTGTTATATGAAATATTCGATAAGAACCATCTAATCGAAATGAAGGTTTTTTTCGTAAAACATTTGATTTAAACTAAGAAAAAGAATAAATATTTTTCAATAATAATGAAGATTAAGAATATACTTACTTCCATATTTGTATTGATCAATGCATTCATTTTATATCAATAGATTGTGTACTTCGAAGATTTTCAGATAAAGAATTACTAAAAAATCAAGAATGAAAGATTTGCAAGAGAAAATAAATATGTCTGTTGTTCTGCATTACATGTTATGTCTATTCTTATCTATATTTTATTTTTATTCATGTAGTGATCATCAGTGTGCAAAGAAGAAGAAAAAAGACATTCTTATAAAAACGATAATGATAGTTGTTGTTCTTTCTGATTGAATACATTTAGAATATTTATCTAATTTTACGCATTGTTCAGCAAATACTATTATCGCTTAGGACTATTATAGAAAAGAAAATAGAAGTAGAAAGAAGAAGAAGAAGAAAATCGAACAAAAAATAAAATGCACGTTGTTGATGAATAAATAATGATATAGTAAGAATAAAATTGCTGTCTGTAATTAGACAATTATAGGAAAGAAGTTCGACTACTTAACGTCAAATTATTGGATACTTTATCTTTTTTTTCTTTCTTTATTCGCAAATGACAAAATAAAGACGAGACAAACGGATGTCATAGATATTTTAAAACTGATTTATAATAATACTCAAAAAAAAAAGAAAGAACTAATTAGATTTTGGTCTAATTTCATATATCACAATAAATTTTCATCGACATTAATATAGCAGGAATATTAAAACAATATTTCTATGCTCATTCATCATAGGAAAAACGAATCTAATGTTTTTTATTTCTATCAGGAAACTCTTTATCTTAAATAAATAAGATCCATTCAATGTAGAATACGAAGCATATGTTGTTGAATATATTTTATTCCAAGTGCGTAGAAGATTATATTTAGCATATAAAAATATCGCAAAAATCTATATTATTTTCTTAATAAATAACGTGTTACATAGATAAATAATAAAAATGTTCTAGTAGTTCAATCTTTCGTATGTAGAGAGATAATACAGAAATTATTCGTGTAATCTATCAGAACGTCTTTAAAATTTATAAACAAATGATACAGTTATGAGAGTAATGAATTGAAAAAGATACTCGTTTGAAAAGACACTCCTCGTGTCAGTTTATCGAAAAATCAAATTTGAAATTTGATAGGTATAAATAAGTGTTACTTCTTCATGTGTATATTCCTAGCGGGCATTATGTTTTCTATTTGGTAAAGTTAGAACGATGAGTATTAGTTTTTCGTCCTGTTATATTTATTATATTATTAGACAGCTGTCGAAAATATTTATCAACTTACATTCAATATAAAATTAATCAAGTTCTTATTTTAATATAACATGATTTTTCACTGAATCCTTACCAATTATTGCATAGTTGATAGTAACTATAAATATACATGAAAAAAAAAATTTAAGAAATGCTTCTATTTGATGTTATACTTAATCCTACAAAACAACAAAGACTATACGAACTTCGTTCTTTTGTTGCTCTTAAATAATCACGATGATGTATGTCTTATTCTGTTATCACAGTGAGATAAAAGTATTGTCTAGTGAGTAACAAATGTCACTTGTTAAGAAAGTGAACAATGAACCGGATGCAGAGCAGTGATCAAATGAAAAAGTATTCTTCGAAAATAGATGACTCCTAGATAATTCCGTAAACGGAAAGAAAAAAATAGAAAGCAATAGGAAGTTATCATCCAGACAAAAAAAGACACTTGTTCCGTTTTAATAGAAACTTTTTTATTCCTTTTTTTAGTTAAAAAATTTATGTTAACTAGATAAGAACAGATACTCGTCTTTCTAATAATATTTTATATTATAATTTTTTCAATTGAACAAAAGTCTCGCACAGATATTATATGAAAAGATTTGTTCTTGTATAAACTTAGATAAGGAAAAAGTTTGGAATTGAATATCTATGAACAAAATATTATTTCAATATTTCCTAACTTTTACATATAAAAATCACAACATTAAAAATGAATGTTATTTCTCTTGTTTTTACTAGTCGAATACTAGAATTATAAAGGTCAGACATTTAAAATTCGTAACAATTCAATCAAGTTCATTGTCTTATTGCAAATATGTTCACATTCTCTTCTTCCATATACAGTTCAAATACGTTATTTGTCATTCCGTTAATGTCGACTACTAGTGCCATCTATAACAAAACAAACGATTCGATTTTCCTAACCAGTAATTTTCAAATTTTTTTATACCGAATAACAAAGATCGATAGAAGAAATAAATAGTAAATAAATTATATCACGACCCTCATTCATTTCTATGCTTGATCGTTTTTCATGACAATATTCGTAGTTTTAATTCTCTTTCGTTTTTAATATTTTTAATCATATGATTTTATTTTTCATTGAATAAATGATTTTGTTTATATTAATGTAGTTCGTTCTTTTATTTTTAATCGTCATATGATGAAACTAAGCACGTTGAGTTATCTTGTGTCGCATGAAATCTTGATGGCTATTTGTGAAACTAATTAATATGCCATTGTAAGGCCATGCAAACAGTAAACTTTCTGCTTTTCTATCTAAATTCTTATTACTGCCTTGTTTAAAATCAATTTAACAATGCGCAGATTTAAGATAAAAAGCAAACATAATCAATTTTTATAAACGAAAAAAATTTCTTTTTTTTCTAAAAAACTATGAAAATTCTTTAGTAACCTGATGACGATAAAAAATCTTTAAAAATAAAATTTTCCTATTTTGTTTTAGATATACTATTACCATCGAATTATGCTACATAAAACTAGTGAGACTAGTACAACAATAGTACGAAATTTTAAAAGATCTATTTCAGTAAGACAAAAAATTTAATATAACAATTGAAGTTTATTTTAATTTCTATTCTAGCCTGATTATACATTAAGTATTGAACGGAAATCTAAAACAACAAAATTTGAAGTAAGAATTTGTTTTATTTAAATTCTATTCGACTCATTTTCTACATCAGTTGCTTTCAATCATATTAAAATAGAATATCAAATTAAATCCTTTTTATCAGAAGAATCTACAGAATCTTTCTCTCTCCCTTCTCGTTAGTCTAAAGCCACCTGTTGTGCATATGTGTTAACAGTCAATTACTAATGTCTATTTAATATGCATAAAATTCACGAGACCATATCAAATTCTTTCTTGATAAACAACTGACGGTATTTCTTCAAAATATATCTCATCCTATATAAATGATCGATTTTTTCATTACAAAGAAAAAGAAATCATGCTGCTGAAAGTGTTGCACAATCTACACAAGACCTAATTTTTCATAAATATAATATGACTTCAAAAAAGGTCT